TAATAGGAAAGCAATCTAACAATTAACATCCGTCGGACTAAATCCCTAAATCAAAAATGTACTTTTACAAATAGCTATCATGTATTTCACCTGTGAATAGCCCTATGAAAAGTAAAAATGTATAGTTAAACTCACAAGCACGGGCCTTTATGCAGGGTAGCTGGAAAAAGCAGAGTATATTCAAAGTGGCAGATGTTTCTTACCAACCTTTGCATAGATTGCGAGCATTATTCCAATCAACTTCATGATAGGGGACTGTATAAAGCTGCTTCCTCAATGACCGGATTGTGGGTGTGATAGGTCCAACAAACCTCTTCCCATACAAATATGACATGGGCAAATACACCATTCGGCAATGACACCACATTCTTCCTGTATGTGGAAAATTTGAAAATTCATAAAACGTAATGAGTAGCAGTTAGGCAGTTAACAACGTGAACAAGTGTATGAACATAATAATGTTAATGGGACCTATGTTATTTATTTGATCGAGATATTTTTATGAAAGGAGGCTTGAATTTCTTCTATCCTGCCTCGAATGAACATATAGCATCAATGTCAACCGTAACGATTATGAACAGAGACCCGGATGAAATGGAAGAGAGTAAGGACATAGCCACACTTCAGGTGGAAGTGGATTATTCCCAGACCATTCATATGCCCCAAGTACCTATAACCACCAAAGCGTCAGCTAATATTTTCAAAGGACTACACCCTTGGTAGAATCCAACAAGAAAAACACTGAGTTCATACTGAAAGCCACATTTTCCCCCCATGAAGTAATTGCAGTCACGCCACCATGGTCTAATATCCACTTGCGTGCTAGTTCGATTGCCCCTTGTCCATCATCAGTACCTTCACCAAGCAACCTCAAAGTGACATTATTAAGTGCAGTGCCAAACATGGTACTTGGCCCCTCAATATGAAGACCCCATCCCCCTTCTTCATTCTGCAAAAACAATTCATCAGTGAATTTCTTCATTTTTCTATACGGAAATGGAAGCTTTCTTAAAGGGCATTAATTTCATGAAACCATTCTTACCTGATGATTATAGAGATATCTGCACATCTCACGTTGATGCTCTTTCAATAACACAGCATTTAGAGCTCCAGTAATTGAAAGTGTAATGATCTGTTGCAATTGGTAAGTAATACTTAGTCACCCAACAAATACCGAATGGATCAAATAATAAAGAAAAAAAAAAACAATCTTGGTTAATTCATTTTTCACTAAGAAGAAAGGCTGTGAAGTTCCGAAATGAATATGCAGCCATCTTTAGGAATGTCAAACTTATTTCTCATATTTAACCATGACATACAGATTTTCCTATTTTCATCTTCTGGATAACACAGTGATTACTACTTTTCTCCCTTACCAAACCAGGAAGCAGAAACATGGGACCCCCATAATCCCCAGCCCAATGACCGTCATACACCTGGATTGTTGAATAGAAACTGACAGCCTTCGTAATGTGGTTGTCACTGCCTCTTCCGTCACCTCTTCTTGATCTTTAACTTTGAGTTGTGGTAGATTAGTGGCACATGGATTCTCTTTTGCAACCTACATTTCAGAAATAAGAACAAAACACATACATAAAAAATGGGAAGTAGTGTTACAAAATATGTTAACTTCAAAACTCATGATTTGGCCCGAAACCACTAAAATTCTTCGCTCATATTGGAAAGGGTTTTAACAAACTAGGCATATTTGAGGACATTAACTCTTAAGAATGGATAAAACACGCCGACAACTTTAAGTTTTATACAAAAACACCTCAAAGAGCTCAATTGGAGAACACGGTATCTCAAACACAGATCACCCGAAAGAAAAACATCATTCAGACTTACAAAGCCTAATACTCCAAATGAAATCCTAGTTCCGACAATACTATGTGAAAAATCCGACCGCATTGTTCAACAGCATTGTCAAATAGAGCACAGTTCTAACTGATTTTATACATAATTCAATGATCCAGAGCACCGCAACCATAATTTGAACAGTTTGCATTCAAATTTCAGTAAATAATTAACCTTTTTTTCACCCTTATGCAGTATATTCAATTTCTTGAGAAAAAGTGTCGATGAATTGAAAAATGAAGAAAAACCCAGATGAAGGAACCTGAATTCTCATGAGGACGTCCGAGATGTGCCGCCTTTCGTAACGGTGGTTCCAGAAAGCCTTGCGGGCATCTTCAATTTGCTGAAGCTCTTCTGGGGTTCCAGCCTCTGGGTGGAACTCCCACACCTGGCGGCCCAAGTGGTTGTTCACACTCTTCAGCCGTTGACCGCCACCTTCTCCTCCCACTGTCTCTGCCCCTACCTTCAGCTTCCATATTTTTTACTTTGTTCTCTCTCTCTCTCTCTCTCTCTGCCAATGAGATTGTATGTACTTTGCATACGTCGCTAAATCCACGTGAAGTTGTGGACGCATCAATTTTTGAGATTTCTTTCTTCCCTTTTGTTGGCCATGTGAGCACATCAATCATTGTGTATTTACGAAAAAATCTTATTCTTCTAATAAATAGTTAAATACTTGTTTGATATAACAGCGTACTCGTTTCATTATACTTAAAAATAATTAAGTTTTTACCGTAAAAACTTAATTATTTTTAAGTAAGAAGTAGTTCAATTACTTATAAATCTTGGCAAAACGTGCTAAACTTTTGACGTAAGATATTTCTTCACATCCTCAAAAGAATACGTCTCCCCATTGTTGTATAAAAAAACAAATACTATTTTTGGCTAGTGTTTGGTGAATTGAATTGAAAATTGGTTCTTGATGCATAATTTACATTAAAATATTCATATCTAATTTCAAACAGCTACCAATATAACTGGATAATGATATATATAAAAATCTTGGCCACTATTACTTCACTACATCACTGCCAGTATTGTTCTTACTCACCACATAACCATTTTATTTCTATACTAGGGCCACCACCAATCACAACTCTATATTATCAAGACATTATTTTAGATATGAGCTTCCTTGCACGTCAAGGAACACAATCCAAAGATAAAGATTGGATTATTTTTTTCTCGAGATTTGGCATTTTTTTTTAAGTTTAAGCAAATGATATATCCGCTAGAAGAACACAAAATTTATAAATCTATATATTTTGATACAGTCAATTCTCTGATTTTTTTTTCATACATGTATATCAAGAGCTAAACAAACTCTAGGGAAATAATAATTAATTTAAAAGAAAAAATATGATCTCCAAAAGGCACCCGCATGCTGGCAACATGCATGAAAGGAAAATAATGGACAGCTTGATCTCCATCCATTCATGTGCACCAAGAGATTTTGTCAACAACATGGACCGTCGTAAATTAATATTTTACAAAATTAGTAACGTATTGTTCTTTTTACCATGGACTATTGCACGTAATTAATGTATGTTTTAATAAGTTATTGGAGTATTATTTGTCGTAATCTTGTTCTTTGAAGTTAGTCTTGTGAAGTTTGGCATATATATTCGTCGCAAAACGAGTTTTGTTGATGAGCTCTGTGCTCATTGTGTTTATACTGCAATTTGGATTTCATCCTTTTTGAGAAAGCTTCTCTTTATTGTCTATTACTGACTGCTAATATAGTTAAGTCGCTCGACCTCATGATATTATTATATAATTTTTGTTTTCTGTCACGTTGTATACCCGCTGTCAACCAAAAGAAAGAGTCTTAATCGGGCTAACAAGTAAAATAACGGCAATAATCATGAAGGAAAGTAGTCATGGTCAGAGAGCCCACTGGAAAGTTAGACAGCCGGCCAAACTTTTTCTAACCAAAGTATTTGGCCGACTTTTGCTTAGCCTTTGCAGGAAACGGCATGTTATGTTAAACTTTTACTGTCCGTCTTCTCACATGGTTCTGATTCTATACGTGATAAGTAAGACCAAGTATTAGGAAAGAAGAGTTCGCAACCATGCATTTCTTTACTCTCATGATGTAAATATATTATTGTAATTTGTGACAAAACAAAAGGTCTCGAAAAACAACTATACAATATTCAAAAGAGAAAGAAGATGTTGTTGAGCTTGACTCTATTCAAAGAAGAAAACTTTTCTACAGATCTATTTGTGACTTTGCCATAGTTGATGAGACTAAACTTTTTATATATTTTTTCAATAACTTATTGAGCTTAGGGACTAGTTTAGTATTGTTGTGCTTTGAAAAAAAAAATGTTTCTGTTGTGATGTGAAAATAAGCAAATGTGAAATAAAACAGTAATGTGTTTCGTAAACTATAGTTGTAAAAGTATTTTTGGCAAAAAAAAGAAGTATTACAGCGTTTGGTAAATCTTTTTATAAAACAACCGTAATTGTGTAAAATGGCCAAAAATAGCATAATAGTACTAGATGTGCTATTAATTTAAATGCTTGGCAAACAAAGGTCAATTTTGAAATATACTTTGCCACTAGTAGAGTCACGTTAAGGGCTACCCTTAGCCCAGGTAGCTGGTGAAAAATAGAATTTTACATGTAAATTTTATTAATTTTCGAATGTAGCTCACCATATATTTAGTTATTAATCCGAATTCTCAGTTTAATTATATAAAATTATATAATACAGTTTATAAATCATCTCTTCTTCTTACATCCTTTTTATTATCGCTTCTTGTAAATGTATATGTTTGAATTTGTTTGAATTTTAACACGTATTTATTTAATAACGAAAATTCTTGGCTCACATTTTGAAATTTTCTTAAGCTAGCTAATACTATGAAAAATACAGTATCAAATTTCTTTGTTTATAAAGATTTAAATCTTAAAGCTAGCCCACCTGGTGAAAAATTCCTAGCTTCACCATTGTACATTGCTGTAAAATATTTTATCTTAATTTAAATCTATTCCAAATACTAATTTGTACGACAAATTACTTCAAAATATTAAAATCTTTCAAACAGAATAGTAAGAATCATCATAAGATCTTCAATAATAATAGCTAACTTTTTTCTATTTTATCTAGCCAAATGACAGAAAGCTTTTTTTTTTTTTTAGCCAAAAGAACCATACATAGAAATCCCTCTGATACAATCGTTCCTACCAGAATCAAAACAAAGAGCATCTAAAGCAAAAGGAGGAACATGATGCTCCCACAAATGACAACCAATTATTAGAAGACCCTGACAAGCAAAGGTATCAGTGACAAAGTTTGCCTCTCTAAAGATATGGTTCCAATAGATAATACTAAATTTGGTCGGTGTCCATTTAATATCTTCAATGGTATGCTCCAGATTCCACAGCATCGAGCACATTCCTTGCACAACCTGAATGACCAGCTTGGAATCGCCTTCCACCATGATCTTCAACACACCTTTTCTAAGGGCAAACATTAGACCCTCTCTTAGACCTTTAGCTTCGACTTCGAAAATAAGGGCTATGTCAAGATTTAAAGCCCCACCAGCAATAAGAATTTCATTATGTTCCCTGATGGCAAAGCTATCCACTGCCTTGACCCCGGCTACAGAACCATCAAAATTTAACTCAACAAAATCCTTATCCGGTGGATGCCATTTAATATTTGTCAATTCATCATTTGAAATCTTCTTAGTACACTTATTGTTGTAATTAAAATATATTTCACCCAAAGACAGAGCGAAGAATTTAGATCTCCAGAGAGTAAGCATTACTCCTCTTAAAACCTTATTATTTCTATCATTCCAAATTTGCCAACATAATAATAAAAACAAACTGAGCTCACTCAGACCTTCCTTATTCACATGATTTAGAGAACCCATACACTCAACAACAGAAACAAAGTTATTAGTATAAACAACATCAGGAGCATTAGAAACCAAGTTCCAAAGGAGATGAGAAATACTACACTTAACAAAATAAATGCATTTGGTTCTTTTCATCCATATTGCAAAAAGGACACAGACTATCATTATTAGAAAAAAAATGACTTAGTTTTTTCCTCATTTGAAGTCTTTCTCTAATAAACAACCAAGCAAACATTTTAACTTTGAGAGGAATATTGAGCTTCCACATTTTATTGATCACCTTATGTCTAATTGACTGCACCAGAGAGCCATTTTGGATCCAAGTTTCCGATTTAATGGAAAATTTACTATTAGTCGTAGGACCTCAAATGATCTTATATTTAGTGACAAGAATAAGGATTAGAATATTGCCTTTTTTTTTTCATCACGTCATTACAGACTACTTGGACTAGTTTCTCCATGTCCCAACAATTATTAACAATGAAATCACTCACTCTCAAGTTCCAATCAATATTTTGAGAATCAATATCAGGTAAGATAAGGAAGAGAGGATAAGGAAAAACCCAATTGTGGGTCTAGAACAATATGTCATGGCCATTACCCACTCTCCACCTAATCCCCTTAAAAATGACATCATTGCTCTTCAAAATGCTCTTAGAGAATAATTTTGTCTAACTTTATTTCCCAAAAAATCCTCCTCTCGAAGGTACTTACTTTTGACCAACCTCACCCACAAATTATTCTCATCTGTTAGAACCTTCCAACCCAACTTAACTGTACAAGCATTATTAAACTGATCCAGACACCTAACTCCAAGGCCACTGAATTTCTTGGGAGTACACACACTATCCCAAGCAATGGGAAAAACCTTCCTATCTCTACCCCAAAAGAAATCCCTGCACTCCTTATTTAGCTTATTCAAAATTTTATCCGACATTTAAAACAAGACATAACATGGTTAGGCATACCTATAAGATTTGAATTAGTGTGACTATAACCATTAATCACCCATTCTAGGAAGTTGCAGAGCCGGCCCTGAGGGTGTGCAAAAGGTGCCACCGCATAGGGCCCCCGATTTGGAAGGGCCTCCAAATTTTCATTACATGCATATAGATACATATAAAATAGATTAGATGCAAAAGACAATCAAATATGTGGTTCTAGCACTAACAGTTTAGCTCTTCTACCTTATAGCCCATGTGCTAGGTTTGAAACCCCATGATATTGCTTTGCTATTTTTAAGCTTTTGCAAATTTGTAAACTGAAAAAGGAGATAACAACAATGCATCCAACGTGTGTCGAACTCAGGACCTTTGAAGGTAAGGAAAAAAACCTGGCCAATCAAACAACTTATTTTTGTTGCAATAGCTTGTAATATTTTAATTTTATAGACGAAAATTTTGAAAAATAAAAATATAAAATATAACATTAAAAAAATGAAGGGCCTCCATATAAGTTTTGCACAAGGCCCCTAAATACTCAAGGCCGGCCATGGGCAGTTGATTGGGCTGTCATATGTTGTAACCATGAAGCTCGATAGTTCTAAAATATCACGCTAGAACCGTCACAAATCGAGGCATGCAACGGGTGTTTTTAGTCCCTAATGTGAACAGAAGACGATTGGTGGTAACGTGGAAGTTCGATTCGCCGGTATTCAGCCAAAAACAGCTCGTTGATCTTGGGGCACCAAAACCCTAACTGCTTAATTGAAAACGGCTAAGAATTTCTAGAAATCGATTTGAAAGTTAAATTGAGTGTGAGGAGAGTTTGTTTCTGGCTGTTTTGTGGTCAGTCGTCGCCAGCTAAGTCACAAGGACAAGAGCAAGAGGTAAGAGAAAAGGGAGAAGGAAAAAAAAAAAGAAAATTAGAAAGAAATACGGTGTGTGTGTGTGTATATATATATATATATATATATATATATATATATATGATGTCTGAAGACATAATCAGAATTAGAGCAAAAATGCAAGGGTAAAATTAGGAAAAGATTGTGCTTATGAATAGTAATTTAGTTGATTTTGGGTTTTAGTATATATTGAATTTCAATTATGATCAAGGGAAACCAATTTAGATTATTGATCATAATTTAAACCTGTATTAAACATTCCTAGTTTAAGTGTGATTGTGTTAATCCTAAATTAGATTTGATTCTAGTTATCCTTTCCTATTACAACTTGTATTACTTGGGGAAGAAGGAATATCTTCTCTCATTTTACTACTATAAATAAAGGCACAATGTAGGAGGGATAACAACACACATTCCCCTACAATTCTACAAACACATCTCTCTCAATTTCTCTACCCTTGCCATCGGCCCCCTTTAGCCTTGTCAGATAAAATAGGCTACAACACATTATCAACACGCTCCTACCACTGCGCTTAGGAATCTGACCTTGAAGAATTGTTCTGCATCAAGCTAGTTCATCCATATCATCACGCAATCAGGTTCTTTCAAAATAACGGTTTTTATCTCGATATTTTTGCAGCCCTGATAGCATGAACATTCACCATAATGCATGACCTAACTTTGCGTTTTTCGAATTTTAGATTCTACATAAATTGTGTATGCATTATATCCATAAATATTGAATTATGTGAATTTGATATTTGCCATGAATTGCATCAAATATATGTACATGCATTAGAATTATTGAATTGCATATGCATCAAATTGAATATATTTTGAATTGAATTATATATGAATTGAATTGAAAAAATAAAAAAAATAAATTTGCGATTAGGAACTTAGTGTTCTTCGAACCCCCGACATCACCCAGGCCTGCAACCTGAGGACTGATGTTGTGCCAAGCTGAGAACCACGAGCCAAAAGCTCCAAGCTTCACAACCCAGAAAACTCGACACCATTGATGGTGTCTCTGTCCATGATCACCACGGGTATAGCCTGTAGCCATCACCCTGACCCTTTTGGTTATCAACACTGACGACCCGAAGTCGTCCCCAATGGAATTAGGACCAAGATTTGATTAAATCTCATCGGAATTTTTTCAAAAATCCGATTTAAATTTTCTAAGTTTTGGTTATTATAATGTTGAGATTACATCATCTCTGTTCACCACCATGGTCATCAACAACCACCATGACTCAACCCGAGTCCTAACAAACCCCAGACCGCCGCCAGGAGTGATAGGTCTAGCATTCTTCTCCGGCGAAATGCACCCATCACACGCTGGGGTGTTTGGTTCCACAACCCGAGCCTTTCTTAGGCTTGGCTCATTCTCAGTGACAGCTCCAGCCCATTGGGCTTTGGAGCTTCCCAGCCTGCCAAGAAGGGGAAGAAAAAAAAAAAGAAATTTTTTTTTTAGGCCCGCTTGATATGGCCTATTTTGTTCTCCTCTCCCTGTGGGTCTGCAGTCCCACCCCGAGACCAAACCTAGCCCACCCTAGGGCCTGGGATCCACGACACCATTTTTTTTAAGCCACCCTGTGGGCTTTGGCCTATATTTTTTGGCCTTGAGTTTTATTTGCCTAATTATTTTAGGACCAATGAGTTTATATTTTTTTCACCCACACTTTAATTTGGCCCGAACTCGAAATAATTAATTCAATTATAATTATAGACCTAAAAGTTCTATTTTTGCATATTCTTGTTGCATATTTCTGTATATATATATTTGTATTTACCTGCAGGAATATATGAACCTGAAGATCATCATTATTTTGAAACCTGAAGTTTCTTAAAAACATGCCTTGTTTGAAAACCTGAAGTTTTCATTTAAAAACATCACCCATGAAAACCCAAAGTTTTTCATGCAAAATTAAACTAACACATGTCTATTAGAATTTGTATGTTCTACTCCTATGTGAATGAATTGATTTTTCTCCATTACACTAACCACATCTTGCCCATCCATTTTGTTTAGAACTTTTATGCATGTGACCGATTCAAAATAATTTTTCTTTCTAGGTATGACTAGTGGGAAAGTTAGTTGTCTGGCAGATAGTGCAACCACGCACACAGTTTTGTGTGAACACATCTATTTCACTAACTTCATACCTATGCACCTCTGACAATCCTCTTAGGCCCATCCAATCTGATTGAAGGATACGGTAAGGCACGTATAATGTTGTCCAATTGTACAATCTTGACCATTTCTAAGGCACTCTATGATCCACGTTCTGGAAGAACATTATTAAGTTTCAAGGACATTAGAGATAACAATTACCATGCTGAAACCCACGTAGAAAATGGAGTTTAAGTTTTGTGCATGTGCCACTATGTGGCCGGGCCTACCACTGGGACCGCGCATGAAATTACACTTTGGCATGATCGTTTGGGACATCTTGGACGAATAACGATGCGCCGTATCCTCAAATGTTCACACGGGCATCCACTAACCTGAAGTTTAGTTTGATCCAAGGAATCGCATGTCAAACATGTTCAATGGGAAAGCTTATTACTAAGCCTTCTTATGACAAGATTCGTTCAAATCCTCCCATTTTTCTACAACAGATTCAGGGGGACATTTGTGGACCGATTCACCCTCCTTGCGGACCATTTAGATACATTATGGTTTTGGTTAACACTTCCACATATTGGTCACACATGTGCTTGTTGTCCACAAAGAACGCTGCATTCTCCAAACTGTTGGCTCAAGTTACTAAGCTCAGGGCTCACAACCCTAATTATCTGATCAAATCTATTCGATTGGATAATGCTGGAGAATTCACATCTAAAACTTTTGATGACTATTGCATGTTGGTTGGGGTTGAAGTTGAACATCTTGTACCCCAAGTTCACACCCAGAACGACATGGCAAAGGTTTTCATTAAGCGCTTACAAATGATTGCTCGATCCTTAGTCATACATACCAAGCTCTTGATCGCTACTCGGGGCCACGCAATATTGAACGCATCAAAGTTGGTCCACCTGAGGCCTGATGCGA